ACACACAAAGTCATTTCATTTTAAAAACTTGTACTAAAAACCTTTATTTAAAAGATTAGAAAAATCATGCCAAAGGACAAGAATCTAGCCTAATAGATTTTACGATTTTTTTACACATATAGTGTTATAGGGATGATATGTGGACACATTTAATTGCAAGGATTTGGAGAAAAAAAGAAAAAAAAATTGTTTTTTTTCTTTTAATTAGTTTGTTTTTGTTCCATACGGTTTTCTATAAACAGCCAAACAAATTCTTCGTTCGTTATTTTCCATCCAATCAATTTTTATCTTTTTGAAAAATAATAATAACAATCGGTAAATTATAAAAGTTAAATAATAAAATTTTATTGCTAATAATCGATGACTATCAAAATATTCTATGAGCTATGAGTTATTGATAAGCAGTAGATTAACAATGAAATTCATAACCAATTTTAATATTTTTTTTATAAGCAGTAGGACAATACGTGGTGCCTTACGTGTATTGTGTCATGTAAGACTCATGTGTTTATTTATTTAAAAGTTGGATAGTTAAAGTGTCTGTTGGAGGTCAAAGTTAAAATTTGAAATCAAGTTTAGGGTCCAATTTATATATTATGCATAATATAAAATTATATTCTAGGCGACTCCATTTCTTATACTATTTAATTGTAAAATTTTTCATTATTAAGGATAAAAATATAATTATAATTGCCAATAAATTATTTTTACCAAACCAAAACATAGGGAAAAGCTTGAAACTTTTTAAACAAGGTTCTACATTATAAACACAAAGAATATTTAATTTTTGGGGCAAAAAATGTGGATGAATTTTATTGTGCCATATGGCTAAAACTTGCCCATGATTCAAAAGCTTGATTGTTACTTCAATTTATGATCGATTTTATATTTTATGCTACGTGTGATAAATTGAACGATTCACTAAACTTTTTTTCACAAAAATCAAGTGAAAATGATTTATAAAAAAACATGTGATTTTGATAGTGAGTTCAATTTGTATCAATCCTTTTTTATAACTTCTCTTCCCTTCTGATGCACTTCATTATTAATTAAATATAAGAAAATAAAAAATTAATAATAAAATAACAAATAACTTTGAATATAATGTATCACAATAGCAGAGTTCGAAAAAAAAACACATCTTGTTAGGTTATTAGCATTTTAATATTAATATTTAACATATTAAATTGCTTTATTTTGGAGCTATAAGAATGAACATTGGAATGGATGACTTCTACATCATCCATTAGCATTGGTTATCCATCAATGTATTTCATTCTTAATTCCTCCATTACTCTTTGTAACCTATGTAACTCCCATTGTAATTTATGTAACATATGTAACTTCCATTGTAACCTATGAAACTCCTAAGGCCATTATCTTCACTATTTACTACCTCCATTATCTTCCTATTCATTGCTAGGAAGACTTCTTGTAGTATAAATAGTGGTAGTTTTCATTTGGTTTTTGGCACACACAATTCATAAGAGAAAACAAAGAGTGAAAGAGTTAGTCTAAAAGAGAGTTCTTATTAGTTGAAGGGAAGTGTTCTTTTTTGTGGAGCTTTAGACTCAACTCTTGTCCAGAGTTGTTGAGTTATACTTTATGAAGGCTGTTGTATCCTGGAGGGGACAAGTCAAAGAGGACTACTGCTGGACCGATGAAAACATTTGCTGCAGTGGGCTTGAATCTCCTTAAAGAGAGCGAGATATCCGCGCCTCAGCCTGAAGAGATTACTTTCTTCATTTTTTTTTCAATTGTAATCTTGCAATTTTATTATCTTGTAAGTTTTTTCACTAACACATCTCAAAAAAAATGATATCAGCAATATACCTTAATACTAATATTAATAACTATTTTTACAACTTCAATCTATGTCCTCTGTTAAAAAATCTCACATCGGTAGATGAATGAAAATTCAATCTCCTTATATTGACTTGAACAAACCTACCCTCATAAGGTAATTTTTGAGGTTGAGTTACGCTCAGCTATCATATCTTTGCATCGTATTAGAATCAGGTCATCCAAATTTATTATTCACCGATATTGACCTCCCATTTAGAAGTGTTCGATCACGCTCCAGTTGAGAGGTGTGGGAGTGTTAAAAGTCATAAATCGATAGAGGAATGAGAGTTCGGATGGACTTGGTCTAGAAATATCTTGTCACTTGACTAACGATTAAAAAATAAGTTAATACGAAAATATAAACAAGCAACATAATTGGTGTGTAAGTTCAAAAATAATAATTTAGTATCATATTTATCCAACTTAACTTACGATAAAAGATATTTCTATATTCTAGATGTCTAATATATTAATTTTAGTTGTTAAGAATATAGTTGGGAAGATATCGTATACAGGACAAAATTCAATGAAGTCAAATTATTGCTAATTATAATTTTTCAATTCCATATAGTATAAGATTCACCTAAAAGTATAATTTATGTGATTATATATTTTCGAAATGATGTCAATTATCTAGCTAGCTAGCACAATCTCTTAATATTCTACAACTTCCATTTTACGTTTTCTCATTCAACAAACTAATTCTTTTTTCTTTTAAGAAAAAAATATTTATAATATTTGTCAATAATTATATAAATAAATAAAAGATATCTAACATAGGTCTTAGGTTATCTCTCTTGACTTCTGTATATTTCAAATTAAACTTGATGTTCCTTAATCACAAGTTTCAATTTTAAATTCTAAAAAATAAAAATAAACTGTGTTGAAAGCATAGTTTTCAACAATCAATTCTATGATAATATTCAAACTCGAATTAATCAATTATAAATATGAAAAATTAGTTAGACTGATATATATAGAGAAAGCGCGCTATCAAAAGAGGACCATTTTTGATATCTTTCTAAATTTTATCCTAAAGTATTTTTACATAATTATACGTGGCTATGAAATTTAGTGCCAAATTATGTGCATGAACATATTAATTTAAAACTATATGATTAGCCATAGTTGGGTCCCACTAAAGTATATAATTAGTCAAGAAAAAGAAATATGAACAGAAAATGAATGGTAATAGAAGAAGTGACTTTATATGTTCTAGACCACCTAATTATAATTTTATGAAAGATTAGTTTCCACTATAACTTACTTTTAATTTTCTTAATACAAAAGGAATCTTTAAAAAAAATTAAAAAAATAGTCAAAACACCAATGTTTGAAAGAAATAATAGCCTATTTTTTTTCTTGAATTTATTAATATTTGTGGTTAGAAAGATGTCAATTCTTAATTAATTTGGTAAGTTAAATAACAAGGTTGATTTAATAAATAAACTAGACCATAGACTGTTCCTTTTGCTAATAGCCCTATATATAATATTTATAAGAAATTAAGTAATTTTTTAGAAGTGAATTAGTGGAGAGAACAAAAAAGAAAAAGGTGGAGCTAAAGCAATACAAAAGATTTAGAAAAGAAAAAAGAATAAAGAAAAGAGGAAAAAGAAAACTCTTGTGGCCAATATTGTAATCCCAAAAAAAATTGTGATATATATATATATAATTCAATATATTCAGTTTTGAATTAATTAAAATAGATTCATGGTCCATTTAGGTAAAAAATATGTTATGTTTAAACTATATTTTAAAGTATATTACATTCAAATCTGAAATAGCGATACAAAATTTAAATACCAATCGAAAATTAAACGTTGAAAAAGTTATCATTCCTAAAATTTTATGAATAATTGTATGCAACATAATCACATGTATGCTTGAAGTATTTGTTGGTTAAATACGCTTAATCAGATATTAATGAAGTTCATAAATAATTAGGGTACCAAACATTCTATTAACCATATAAATAAATTATAATTAATAATAAATAAGAAATTGTGGAGGAGAAATGTTTTCCCTCTATAATAGGGAAAATATATTGGAGAAAATAAATAATAAATAAAGAAGATAGTGAAAGGATAGAAAACAATAGCTAGATGACAAGTTGCTTGCCAAACAGCAACCAATTATATTAAAACATGGTTCTTGTGCTTAGAAAATGACATTATTCCATAAAGCTAATTACTCAAATTTCCAATTTTGTCTCCTTAATTGATAATCACATAAAATTATTTTTTGTCTATTTTCTTATTTTATATAGTTCATATTCATCCACTTGTAAGTGTTATGGATGTTAATAATTAACTCATATTTATTTTTTCATTTAAACAAGAAAAGATAATAGGAATCTATAAATTTTTCTTCTTTTTCTTAATCCAAAGAAATATTATTTATTGTTCCTTTTTTCTTTCTTTTTTTTTGGTTCTCATAGGTGGTAGAAGGGTGATCTCATATGGAAGAGTCTATAATTGTGTAAAGAATAACTTTTTTTTCCAAATAGAAATAAAAGAAAAGAAAAAGGGAAATTCTCTAAGAAGAGAACAAGAAGTTTGTTTCTTCTTTATATAGAAAATAAATAAATTAGTGCACCATAGTGATCATAAATTAAAATTCCTAGCTTCATTTCTAGTTTTAAGAATAAGAGTTTTAATAACAGAGAAGTTTCGAGTGCTTTTTCATTTCAGTGAATCTTATTTGATAAATATTTAAATGAATTATCACTTTTAATAAAAGCAAAATAAATTTAGATAATCATTTCTTCGTATTTTTCTATGCCTCAACAAACTAAACGAAATTACTTAATATTTATTTGCAAATAACTTATACTCGTTAAAATAATTAATATATAAAAATTAAAGTTAATCCATACACCATCGTTATTAAATAAATAAAAAACTATTGTATACAAGGAAAAAAAAAAAGAAGAAAAAACTAGTAGTGGCTCAACTACAATTTAGTATACTCCACAAGTAGGTAATTGTATCATTACAAACCACTTCTTTTTATTATTATTATTTATATATAAAAATCTCAAATAATATTATCCTTTTCTTTTCTTTTCCCCCCTTATTTTCCTCTTTTCCTTTCCTTTTCCTCCCCCACAAAAAAAAAAAAAAAAAAAAAACCATATAAATAGCCAAACATCCCCTCCACTCTCAACTCCAAAATCTCATTCCAAAAAAAAATAAATAAAATTAGAATTTTCTCTTCACCATGGGAACTTACAAAGTTTTCTTGATTTTCTTCCTCAATTTTTTTCATCTATCAATAGCCAAAAATCTTCAAGAAAACAACACCCTTTCACTTTCTTTCCCTCTTACAACAACCCCTTTATCTCAAAATTCAACTTTGAAATCAAATTATTTATTTTCATCTAAAGCCATGACAAATAATATTATCCCATCTTTGAACTATAAATCAAATTTCAAATATTCAATGGCTCTTATTGTTACACTTCCTATAGGGACACCTCCACAAGATCAACAAATGGTTTTAGATACCGGTAGTCAACTTTCTTGGATTCAATGTAACAAAAAATTACCTAAAAAAACACCTCCAACAACGTTTGATCCATCTCTATCCTCCTCTTTTTCCGTTTTACCTTGTAACCACCCTCTATGTAAACCGCGAATTCCCGATTTTACCCTTCCAACATCATGTGACCAAAATCGTCTTTGTCACTACTCTTACTTCTACGCTGATGGTACTTTAGCTGAGGGTAATCTCGTAAGAGAAAAAATTACATTTCCAAATTCCCAAACTACCCCTCCTTTGATCCTAGGTTGCGCGACCGAATCGCGCGATGCGGAGGGTATTTTGGGAATGAATCTTGGGAGGTACTCATTTGTCTCACAAGCTAAGGTGCAAAAATTCTCTTATTGTGTGCCACATAAGCAAGGTAATAAAATAATGCCAAGTGGAACATTTTACCTAGGTCAAAATCCTAATTCACATAGGTTCCAATACATAAATCTTTTGACTTTTCCTCAAAGTCAAAGCATGCCTAATATGGACCCTCTAGCTTACACTCTTGGTATGGTAGGGATAAAAATGGGCGGGAAAAGGTTGAATATCTCCGAAAAGGTTTTCCGTCCGGACGCTGGTGGTTCAGGACAGACGATGATTGATTCAGGCACTCAATACACGTTTTTGGTTGAGGAGGCGTACAGTAAAGTTAGGGATGAAGTTGTTAGGTTGGTAGGTCCGAAATTGAAGAAGGGGTACGTTTATGGAGAATCGCTCGATATGTGCTTTGATGCTATAAATTCCGTACAAGCTAGTCAAGCGATAGGCGATATGACGTTAGAATTTGAAAATGGAGTTGAGATCGTGATAAATAAAGAGAATGTGTTGGATGATGTAGGTGGAGGAGTTCATTGTGTTGGGATTGGAAGATCACAATCACTTGGAATTGCAAGTAATATTATTGGTAATTTTCATCAACAAAATTTGTGGGTTGAATTTGATTTGAGTAATAAAAGAGTTGGTTTTGGTAAAGTAGAGTGTAAGTAGGGTACTATAACTAGTGTTAGTGAGTAGTTGTTGTCACATATTATTGGTGCTTTGTTTGGAGTACATATATTAATTGAAAAACTTTTTGAAATAAAAAAAAATTGTATATGTTAATCTAGAGGAGTTGTTGGGGTTTTGTGTAAATAAAATATTTTCTTTGATATAATAGAAAATTACATATTTAATGTACACTGTGTAAATGTAATGAGTTGGTTTTTAGTTTATGTCATCAAATTTTGTTAATCTATTATTGTAGTAGATATTATTCCTTTTAATGATAGTGTTCCCTTTGAAATATTAGTCTTTATTAACATAGCTTTATAATTACTTTATCCATTAAAGTAGGTTAATATGAGAAGAAATTATCTCTTGTTTTCTATAAAAATTGCAATTCACAAAATTGATTTAATTAACAATATAATACAAATTAAACAAGTATACTTTGGAATTGTGGTCCATATAGTTTTTGTAATTGTGACAAGACAAGAACATTAAATTAATTAGTTAAATGTTTGAAATAGTTTGTAGATCCTATTGAGTGTATGATATCTAATTAGAATTCGACTGTATTTAAATTCGCATTAAAAAATTTCATAATAAAATAAAGTATAGTATTTATGATAAAAACGATTTTGTATTCTAAGTAAATTAAAATTTAAAAAAATAAAATGTATAACTCTATTATTACTCTCGTTAGTTGATTAGTCTGTACATTTATATTATTTTTCATAAATATGAATGAAAAAAAATATAATTATTACACACTGGAAACTTTTTTGTACATGTGTCCTGATCCATTAATTAATTTTGTCATGGTCGGTTACGTAAAAATTTAATTCTTGAAGATTTAGTAATATATTTGTACTATAACCACGGACTCCAAATATTTTACACTATAGTTTTGGTTAGCAAAAAAATCAAAAACAGTAGGTCAAAGTTGCAATATAGAAGGAACTACATAATTATTATCAAGGTGCTATGGACGTACACTTCTTCTTTATAATAAGTTGATACTCGAGTCGATTTTCATGTATCTTAATTATTTTATCGGATATTTACTAACTTTTATAATAATGACATATATTCAAAATTTTCACTTAAAAAAAATTGAAATTAAAAAAAGTAAATACAGGAAGAAGTTAAGGTGATTCAACACATGGATGAAGCTAGTAACAGCCGTTCAAAGAATTCATCCAAACCTATTCGATAAAAAATTATATTGTTCGTATATGGTTAAGATTATATTTTTTATCCCCTTAATGAAATTTTGACTCTCCACTGATTCATCATCTATTATCCATACATAATAATAATTATGATACTATATATACAATTTTAATTTTTCAATGAAAACTATTTCGATGAACCTATTGCATCTTCAGTCTCGATCTTTCAAACATCACAAATATCAAATAATTCTGTTCGCCTAAATTTAATTAGTCGAATCTTTCTAATTTGCAATTTGCATGCAACTTAGATGCCGACCTTTGTTTAAAGTGGATCCACATAAGACATTTTCATGATTAAGAAAGATTAAGATGTTAATTAAAGTCATCTAAATTAATCCCCTTTTCTTTTTTTATTTTTACATAAAAAAAAACATTAACACATGTCTAATCGTACTTGAGTCATAATATATCTCTAATTGTTTATTAACGTCTAATAACATTTAAACACGTTTAGAGAATGTTCTTAATTCTTTTGAGTGCAAAGATAAAAACATTTAAAGTACTAAATATTAGTAGCTTTAAAGTATAGCCACATAAAATTTTATGATATATTCAAAATTACAAATTCAAAAAAATCTTCATTTATTTAAATTTTGTCTGATCAAAATTACGATACGATATCGATAAAAAAAAAAGTTATCAAGGCTGGAAAGCAAACACTTTATATTTGCCAACCTAGAAAAGTTGTTAAGGCAATTAGTAAGTTGTAGACTTAAAAGAAGAAAGTTCTTAGCTGTAAAATTATATGCTTCTAAGTAACAACAAAAATATATCACTCTCAAATATAACTTGAAAAAAAAAAAAACCTCCTTAGCTGTAAATACATTTATAAATAATATATTTTTCTACGATAATGTATCGTCAAATATTCAATATGATTCTACAAGATCTAGTTTCGTTCAAGTAACGGATTCTAGCCAACTGAAAGGATCTTCTGATCAATCCAGAGATCATTTGGATTCCATTAGTAATGAGAATTCAGAATATCACACAATGATTAATCAAAGAGAGATTCAACAACGAAAAGAAAGATCGATTCTTTGGGATCCTTTCTTTCTTCAAACGGAACTAAAAGAGATAGAATCAGGTCGATTCCCGAAATTCCTTTCTGGATATTCCTCAATGTCTCGACTATTCACGGAACGTGAGAAGCAGATGATTAATCATCTGTTTCCGGAAGAGATAGCTATATTATAGTCTGATCAATTCACATTTGTACTACTTAAAGATATTTATATTTTAAAAAGAAAAATGCTCGTTCATTATTGAATTTTACTTTTATTTATATTCAAAACTTTAATTCTAAATCTCTGATTAAAGGTAGAGAAATCTGAAATTCAATTCGCACCATCAAACAATCGATGGTGAAAAAAAATGTAAATTTAACATGAACTATTGATAATTTTTTTATGAATTCCACATTTTAACTATTAGTTATTTCTTTTTTTCTACGTGAAAACTATATATCATCATTTTTATATCAAACAAACCAAATGAGTATGAGTAAATCGATAATAATAGTTCAAATAGAAAAAAATAACCACTAATAAATTTAGAAACTTCTTATAGCTGTAAAAAGCATATACTTGTAATTAAGAATAAATTAAAGATATTACTTGTCAAAATCATTAAATATATTTGTTCTTGATTCTTTACCAACTATGACTTATCAATCCTACTAAATATATCTTATTTTCTTCACTAAATTAAATTTGAGACAGCTAATAGAGGACCTAATTCTTTTCTTTTTGTTATAATTGACCAAACACTTAAAAATAAATTCTTTCCTTCTTTGAGGTTGAAATTATATCTTTTTATACTATTTATAATAATTGATTCTTTCATTCGTTTAATTTCCTACTTCATATTCGATATCCAATTTTGAATTCAGACTAATTCAGATACACGGTTAAAAGTTGCTTTCAAAGTTAAGTTTATAAGGAAACTAAATACTATGAAAAACAATTATAAAGAAAAATGGTTTATGATTTATTGCAATAGTATCAAAAGAATTATTAATTGTCTTAATTAAATAAGGAAGAGCAAAGACATTAGTTTGGTGCCGAATTTAATGGATAAATGCTTACCAATAATACAACTAATTAAATGTAAATTAATATAAAGAAGCCAAAAAGGAGATAAAAAGAGAAATGAAAAAAAAACTATAAGGAAAAAAAACAGCTGGATTATTTAACTACTAAAATAATAATAATAAATTAAAAAAAGTCTAAAACTAACTTGTTTATATAAATCTAAAAGAATTAATTAAAAGTTTTTTTTTGTGCTCCTCGAGAAGTTCATGAATTAAAGTTTGGACCACCTATAGGGATGTGTTATGGAATTAGTGGCGGCGTTAAAATTTTTATTAACGAGATTTTAAATAATAAAAATAATACTAAATAAATAGAGAAATAAAAAATATTTTAACGATATATCTTTGAAACTTATATATATGACATAATTTTTCGAAGGCTCTATGAATCGACTCCCTTGTATCACTAACTATGCTTTTAAATTGCTTCATTTTTAACTAGAGAATTTGTGTTCCACTAATACGAATGGAAAGAAAACCTTTGAAAGGAAGCGTTTTCTTTTCGATATGACATAACTTTTATGTGATACGAATCTGAATTAATCGAATTAGTAGTTTTCGAATACTAAATATTATACATATAACTATATAGTTTAGATGCACGCTTGGAGAATCTTATCTTTAAAGTACAGCAATATGACAAAAATGTTTGGTCTGCTAAGTGTTACTGTATGAACAGACTTTTGACTATTATTTTCACCAAATTTTGGTCCCCCACACTATATACGTATAGACGCGTGAGAGGTTGACTATTGATTATTTTACGAGAGGTATGTCGAAAAAATATTAGCATAAATATGACATAATTTTAATTTATCGAGGATGTGATCTGAAATAGAAAATTACAAAGAACACAAATTAGAATGATAGGTTAACACGTAGTTGAATTTTGTCTCGCTTATTATTTCTTACTAGTAATCGTAGTATTACTTACTCTTAAAGTTGTTGATTTCTTCGAATTTTTGTTACTATTTATTGTTTCTAAGTACTTCTTTTATTGTATACTTGATTTCATCACTTTTGTTAAAAAAAAATAAAATTGAATCGATTATAGTTGCATTCATTATTTCCTAAGTTACTAATCTATACAGAAAATGTTACTACTTAGATTAATTGTTTTTTTTAAACAAGTTAAGTGTGTAAAAATCTTTCACATTATTAAAACATAATTATTAGACACAATAGGATTTTCAGTTAATTTTTGTCAAATAAAATCTTTGAATTTGAATTTTTATCTCAAAAGTAAAAATCATGAATTTATAATATCCAATCATTGGAAAATAGACTTGTTCAAATATAATTGGAAAATTGAGGCTTTTTATGAGTACTTTATATGCTGGATTCAAATAAAAACTTTCTGGCCTCCAAATTATTATTTTTTTTCAAAATTAACGGCAAATTTTGTTTTTGTTTTGTACTGTACTCATTAATCAACCCACACTATTGTCCCTATTTTAATAGTATTTTTTTCCTTTATTGGGATGATATATAAATATTTTCAAATTTCTGTCAAAAAATATACTATATATAATATAGTTGATTCTTTGGCTTATTATTAGTCTATATCTATATATGGGATAGGTATTAGACCTTAACAGTTGCTATCCATTTTAGAGTTGAAAATAGTGACATTTTGTTATTATAGCTTTGGTGTTCACGATTTCACGCAACTCGACTAATTTCATAACTCTTTATCACTTTCTACAACCATAGCTTGAACAAATGAAAAGAAAACACGTAATATTTCCGTTGAGATTTAAACCTGAAAGTTCATGTAATCACTTTACTATTTTCACGTTATGTATATTTTCATTATTTCAATGTGTTTGTCTTACTTTCATTTTTAGGTTGTTTCAAAAAGAGTGTCTTTTTCTTCTCATTTTTTGAGCAATGCTTTAATTTCAACTTTCTACGTGACATGC